ATACAGACCCGGTGTCGTGTATACTTGGCTCGGATGCATTACAGAAAATTAAAGAAAGCAGCCATCACGACACAATGTGCATGGAGAGGAAAAGTTGCGCGGAAAGAACTTAAAAACCTTAAGATGGTGAGATGTGGATTTTTCTTCGTTTAGTTTTGATTCTTTTGTCTGATCATCCTAGTACTTGATCAAAATGAACTATTTTCTGAAGTTGACTTCTTAAGATATTGTTTTGCATGACAATTAACACAATTCTATAATCCATAGGCTGCTCGAGAAACAGGAGCTCTTCAAGAAGCCAAAAACAAGCTAGAGAAGCAAGTTGAGGAACTGACATGGAGATTACAGTTAGAGAAACGAATGAGGGTGAGTTTTTTCTTTCTTTGTCAAATCGATCTCTGATTTCCTTTGGTTTCCTGCACTCAATTAAGATTGCTAACTTACCATCTTTTCAAATTCAACGCTACAGACTGACCTGGAAGAGGCCAAAAAGCAAGAAAATGCAAAATATGAGTCTTCTATAGAGGAAATACAAAATAAGTTTAAGGAAACTGAGGCGTTGCTTGTTAAAGAGCGTGAAGCTGCCAAGAAAGTTTCCGAGGTGCTCCCTATTATTAAGGAGGTTCCTGTAGTTGACCCGGAATTAATGGAGAAACTCACTAATGAAAATGAAAAGTTGAAGGTGAGTCTCGGATCTGTAGCTTACCATAGTTAACTGGGGATCCATGATGTAATACTACTCTTTACAGAACCTTCTACCAGTTGAAAAATTCTGCTGAAAAGTATTGGTCTCTTCTATATTGATTGTCTTATAGGGGATGGTAAGTTCTCTTGAGATAAAGATCGATGAAACAGCAAAGGAACTTCAGGAGACAACCAGAATTAGTCAGGATAGACTAAAGCAAGCGTTGGCAGCAGAATCTAAAGTAGCGAAGTTGAAGACTGCAATGCAGAGGTACTATTTTGCATGAATCTCTCATTTAGCACTGGTCGTAATATATACTTATCTTGTTCAAACAATTAGCTGATATTTCATTTGCAGGCTTGAAGAGAAGATTTCAGACATGGAAGCTGAGAAACAAATTATGCTTCAGCAAACGATCTTAAACACGCCTGTGAAAACTGTAACAGGGCATCCTCCAACTGCAACTATTAAGGTAGAATGTTCTTTGATACTAAAATATATGGTCTTTTGGGTTACCTTATACTTGTGCTTGATGTTATAAAATTTGTTGATTCCTGTTTGCAGAATCTGGAAAATGGCCACCGTACAAACTTGGAAAACCAGTTCAATGTAGGATAGTTCTTCCAGAATAACATCTTGATCTCTTGGATTTCTCATATCTTTTTCTTTTTCATTTTCTGTTGGTTCATTCATCTGAGGAATATACTTTTCCAGGAAGCTGAGGTCGATGGAAATGCTGGGAAATCTGCTGCAGAACGTCAACTTGTACATGCCAATCACTTTATACTATATATGCAAACTGTTTTAACACGTATTTCCCTTAAAACTGATTTTCTCTATCTCTGCAGGAGAATGTTGATACTCTCATCGACTGTGTTAAGGAAAACATCGGTTTCAGTAATGGGAAACCTATTGCTGCATTTACAATATACAAGTGCCTTCTTCACTGGAAGTGCTTTGAATCAGAGAAGACTAGTGCGTTTGATCGTCTTATTGAGATGATTGGTTCTGCGATTGAGGTAAATAGATCTGCATTCTGATATGTCCCAAAATGCGAAGTCTTGTGTATGTTTTAACAACTTTTGTAAACTGTCTGTCAGTTACTAATCCCTTGGTATAGAAAGATTATTTGCATGACTTATTACGCCATCTGCTTGAGATAGGATTCAACTAACCTTTTCTAATTTGACATTATCTATATAATGTTGTATATTCTCTACTTCTCTTATATCCTTTATTATCGTACATTAATCATCATGGGTAGAGGAGTACAAACCTGATTTGAACTTACTAAAATTGGAAATTTTACTGCTCTACTGGAATTTTATCTTTTCAGAATGAAGATGACAATGGTCATTTGGCATATTGGTTGACAAACACATCAGCACTACTATTTTTACTTCAAAAAAGTCTTAAAACTGGTGGCACCGGAACAACAGCAAGCAAGAAGCCACCCATCACAACCTCCTTGTTTGGAAGAATGGCCTTGGTAGTTTAACTTCTATGTTATTAGTAGGGTTTTGACGAATCTTTTACTTTCAATGTCAAGCATGTTAACTATCCTTTCCCTTATTGTTAACCAGAGCTTCCGCTCGTCACCCAACCTTGCTGCTGCGGCTGAAGCTGCTGCTCTTGCGGTGGTCCGCCCAGTGGAGGCAAAATACCCGGCTCTACTTTTCAAGCAACAGCTTGCAGCATATGTGGAAAAAATATTTGGAATGATTAGGGATAACTTGAAGAAAGAGCTCACAGCTTTAATATCTTTGTGCATTCAGGTTTCATTGATGTCTCTATTTTTCCTGTCTTTACGTTGTTTCCGTAAGCTGTGACCACTAGCTTTCTGCCTTTGCATTCGGATGTAAATATGTTTTACTACTTTTACAAGTTTTGTTCTGTCCAATGTTTTAACTTCAGGCACCGAGAATTTCAAAAGGAGGTATGCAAAGATCTGGTAGGTCTCTTGGAAAAGATACCCCTGCTATTCACTGGCAGAGCATTATTGATGGTCTCAATTCACTTCTTGCCATAATGAAAGAAAACTATGTAAGGAAACAGTAAAACTACCATGACATTGATCTGTTTTCAACTCCTTATATTCTCATATGTTTTTGATGGCTTACGCAGGTTCCCTTGGTACTCATCCAAAAGATACACACTCAAACTTTCTCGTTCATCAATGTGCAATTGTTTAACAGGTAATAATACTTTAAAGTAACATCTAATGGTTTCTACGCACTTTATTACCAATACTTGTCACTGTACAAGACATAAACTTATCAGTTGGATTGTCAGTAAACTAAAAAAAGTTACTGTTTTTATTGCCCAATTTCCTTCTGAAGGCTAGACCGTGGTCAACCAGTTTTCTTACTTTTTTTTTTCTCCCTTAACATCTTCAAACAGCCTTCTACTGCGTAAAGAGTGTTGTACATTCAGCAATGGAGAATTTGTAAAGTCTGGGCTTGCAGAGCTAGAGTTGTGGTGCGGCCAAGTCAATGAAGTAAATTACTACCTCAAAGTTTTCCAAAATGATAGAAACTTTCTTTCAGCTCATTTATATCATTTTGTTTCATTCTTTGATTTTGCAGTATGCTGGGCCATCTTGGGATGAACTGAAACACATCAGACAAGCTGTTGGGTTCCTGGTATGTCTTTCCTCGTTATGAACTATGAGTATACATCCAGAGTAATCGAGTACTTGCTGATAATTGTGTTTTATTCTGGTTGGTTCTGTGATAAGACTGAGAAGTCTCTCGTAAGAATCTCCGCGTAGTTTATACTGTACTTATTAGACTACTGAGAGTCCATTATCTCAAAGACCCGAACCTTGACTACTGCTTCATTAGATTACTGAAACCAAACAGTCTTGTACACAATCTTATGTTGATCAACTGACTTCCCATACAAATAATTCTCTTCTCCTCGTTCCTCTTCAGGTTATCCACCAAAAGTACAGAGTATCATACGATGATATAGTACATGATCTTTGCCCGGTAAAGCACTTTTTTAGTTTCTAGAATTACGTTTTGAGGATACTTTACTATTGGCTTAGACTCTTTATTCAATCATTTTCTTGATTCAATTTCTTCCAGATCCTTAGTGTCCAACAACTTTACCGGATATGCACATTATACTGGGACGACTGCTATAACACCCGAAGTGTGTCTCAAGAGGTATCTAACTGAAACATAACATAAGTTTTAGTGTCAGTTTCAACCCTTTTTCGATGCTGAGAAAAGTGTGAAACCTCTCTCACAGGTAATATCGAGCATGCGTGCGCTCATGACAGAGGAATCCAACGATGCAGACAGCAATTCCTTCTTGTTGGATGATAATTCCAGGTAACTCTCTCGCTCTACTATTCGAGCGAATGGATTCATGATTCTTGAATTGGTATATAGATCAAGTTGTTAGTGTTTTCTAATAATATTTGGATATCTGCCAACAAAAAAGGAAGAAGAAGAGATTTGAGTAAGCTTTAATATCAGTAATAAAGTAAAAACCTTAACCGGATAATTGTTATGTTTTCCCGCAGCATTCCCTTCTCAATCGACGAAATATCCAATTCGATGCATGAAAAAGACTTTGCTAGTGTCAAACCAGCCAAAGAGCTTCTGGAAAATCCGGACTTCGTGTTTTTGCACTAGTAGTTACTTGGAATTGAGAAGCTCAAGTCAGATTCTAAAAGCTCTTCCTCTGTTTTTTAGTCTGAGGTGGAGGGGTGCCTTCTTGAACCAAAAGGAAAGAAGATTACAAAAGTGTAAATTTGTACTTGTTGTGGGGTTGTTTCTTGCAAAATACCTCCGTAATTCTCACCCTACCAATTCATTCATTTATTTAATTTGACCCCATTACAAAGTTTTCCCCGATTTTAGACCCAAGATTATACATACAAACGTCGTTATAGTGATTGTTTTGTTAATTCTTTCCCCACACAAGCTCTTACGTCCAATTTAGTGACTACTTTTGATGACAGATCCTTTTCTTGTACATAATTAATTTAATTCACATTTATAAACATTTTGTTTTTCTGTAAAAAAAAATCACTTGTATGTCTCTCTACTTCTTGCAGTAACGAATATTTTCGATAATTATCTTCTCTGCTGAAATGTAATTCGACTGAAGTAAATACAAACGTAAAAGTATGCTCATTATACAAATCGAAACCTGCTAAAGTTAAAGAATTTAAAATTTATTAATTAGAACTTCGTATCTTAGTTGGGGCATTTTCACAAATATTTATATTTATAAGAAATTAATTATATTTTTATAAAGAAAAAAAAAGGGTTACGAGAAACCCAACCCTTTCGAGACTCGGATAAAAAAAAAAAAAAAACCTCGCGCACCATATTCTTCTTCAAGCTGCGCCGCTTTCTCACTCTGTTATCTCCTTCTTCGATTTTCTCCGGTCGTTGATCTTTCGCGCATAGCTCAGGTTCGTTTCGATCTTGAATTACAATCTTCTTAAGAGAAACGAATTCAGGATTTGATTAACCTACTTGTTCCCAGTTCTATTGTAGAAACTCCACTTAGATTAGGTCGGGGATCTAATCGTTATAGGTTTGATATCGAACTTGTGGGGATTTTTAGGTGACGGAACCTGGGTATGGAACCTTTCGAATTGGTCAGGCTGATGTAGAAACCCTAATTTTTTTGATGTAGAAACCCTGCGAGATGGTTTTGTGTTGTTGAGTAGGTTATTTATCTTAAGCGACTCTGATTAACTCTTGTTAGGGTTTCTGATTGATTCTCGGTTTTAAGCAGGAGAAGAACCTTCAATCTCTCAGAATGTCTAGGAACAAGGGTTTGGCTGAGCAAGATCTTAAAAAATTGGATGTAACTGCGCTACATCCTTTGTCTCCTGAGGTCATTTCTCGCCAGGCTACTATAAATATAGGTGATTTTTTTTAGTTTCATTTTAACTTTCAACCTCGTTCTCCTTAGTCTTTAATTTAAGTTGATGTCAGAAAAACTAACCATGCATAGAAGCTGAAGATGATAGTGTTATGTTTCAGGAACCATTGGGCATGTCGCTCATGGAAAGTCCACTGTTGTGAAAGCTATCTCTGGTGTGCAGGTAAATAATGACTATTCTTTTCCCCCTTTTCACTTCACAGTTAAATAAGCACGAGTAGTTTGAATCTATGCTATATTTTAGTCTCATCCGTGTGAGTGGGTGGACTCACATACATTATCTGTGTGATTTCCTTCTCTTGTGCAGACTGTCCGTTTTAAGAATGAATTGGAGCGTAACATTACCATTAAGCTTGGATATGCAAATGCCAAGATTTACAAATGCGAGGATGAGAAATGCCCTAGACCAATGTGCTACAAGTGAGTACTTGTCTGCAACATTTTTTTTTTCCTCTCTTCTTCTTCTACTGTAAGTTTTGTGTTAACAACTTTCTGTTGTTTTAGGGCCTACGGAAGTGGAAAGGAAGACACCCCAAATTGTGATGTCCCCGGGTTTGAGAACGCCAAGATGAAACTGTTGAGGCATGTGTCATTCGTGGATTGCCCGGTATGATGAATTTAACAGTTATCTTTATACTACATTAAACACGATTTTCAAATGATAGTATAACCATTTCCTGTGTCAATGAGCTGTGCGTATTATTGTGTATTACCTCACCTGTATACTTTTGGGTCTCTCATTCAGTTGGGTGGAGAGTTTTAAGAGTGAGGGTTTATGGAGAAGTATTCATTGATATTTTCAGCTATTGCCTTTCTTTCTCTACTTCATTCTTTTACACTGAGTTCTTGTTATATTCTTCAGGGACACGATATTCTCATGGCAACAATGCTCAACGGAGCAGCCATCATGGATGGTGCACTACTTTTAATCGCTGCAAATGAGACCTGCCCACAACCACAAACATCTGAACATCTCGCTGCCGTTGAGATTATGCAACTTAAGCATATCATAATCCTTCAGAACAAGATTGATCTTATTCAAGAAAATGTTGCCATTAACCAGCACGACGCAATTCAGAAATTTATAATGGTTCGATTTTCTTATCTCTTAAGTATTTTTAGCTACATTACCATTTCATCAGTTTGTTAATCTAAGGCAGGGATCAACTTGGTTCTCGAATTTCTATACATCCTGTCACAGAACACTGTTGCTGATGGTGCTCCTATCGTCCCCGTCTCAGCACAACTGAAATACAACATCGATGTTGTGTGTGAGTACATTGTCAAGAAGATTCCAATCCCTGAGAGAAATTTCGTGTCACCGCCAAATATGATTGTAATTCGATCTTTTGATGTCAACAAACCTGGTTATGAGGTTGATGAGATTAAAGGTGGAGTTGCAGGTGGAAGTATCCTCCGGGTATCTATTCTTTCTCTCTTTCTATCTCTCTCTTGTTGTGCCTCTAAGTACATCAAGCTTTATATGGTGTAATTATTCAGCGTGTCTCTAACTACATTTATATATTGTAGGGTGTTTTGAAAGTCAACCAATTAATCGAAATTCGACCTGGTATTGTTACCAAAGATGAGCGTGGCAACTCAAAATGCACTCCAATTTACTCTCGTATAATTTCTCTCTACGCGGAGCAGAATGAGCTTCAGTTTGCAGTTCCTGGAGGTTTAATAGGAGTTGGAACAACAATGGACCCAACTCTTACTCGTGCTGATCGATTAGTTGGTCAAGTACTTGGTGAAATTGGTTCCCTTCCGGATGTCTTTGTTGAACTCGAGGTATAACCAAAGAGCTGATGATCATACACTATTGAGTCTCTGTTTTTTTTTGTTTGTTTGGTAGTTAATTCATGGTTATGTACAAATTTTAGGTGAACTTCTTTCTTCTAAGGCGTTTGTTGGGAGTGAGAACAAAAGGATCAGAGAAACAAGGGAAAGTGTCAAAGCTAACAAAAGGAGAGATTCTGATGCTCAACATCGGTTCAATGTCCACTGGAGCTAAAGTAGTTGGAGTTAAAAACGATCTGGCTAAACTGCAACTGACAGCACCGGTGTGTACCAGCAAAGGAGAGAAAGTGGCTCTAAGCCGACGTGTGGAAAAGCATTGGCGTTTGATTGGATGGGGTCAGATTCAAGCTGGAACCACCATTGAAGTACCTCCTTCACCTTTCTAAGCTCTGTGCTATTTTTGTCTTGTTTTTTTAGTGTTGCTGGGAAAAATTATTTAACCCCTCAGAAAAAGATAATAAAACTCCTTTTTTCGTGTGGGGGGTTTTGGAGAGTACCTCTTTGCGGATTAATCATCTTCCTACAGTACCTGATTTGTTATACTAGTTTCTCTTCGTTTGTGTTACTTTTCCTCTCTTAGATTTTACGAAATTTTGTTGTCTTTTTCTTTTGAGATTTTCTTTTTGTCAATTCTATAAAATCCAGAAAAAAAAAAAGTAACAACTACTTCGTAAGAAGGATGAAGTTGTAATCATGAACAATATAAATACGACTATCGAGTCAATTGTTGATATCTCGTAAAGAGTTTGAATGAGTGTCAATTGTGTATGGTACATGAGTTACCATCCAACTTCATGGGGTTATCGACTGGGCTTTGTTTGTTTGGGATTGGTTATGAGAGAATGAGTAGTGATAATACTTGGGTTCAAATTTCCGAAACCAATTTTGCAATTCTAATTACTAAACACAAATATTTTCAAGTTAACGAAGACCACCAATAATGGTGCCCTAAGGTTTTCTCAAGTTCCATCAACCCTCTGATGATCACCGCAGAGTTTCTCCCTTTGACTCTGTAAACCCAAACAGATGACATCATCACTATGAATTCTCTGAGCAATGCAGAGAGTTGTTGTTCAGATTCGTAAAAACCTAACATTTACTTCGTTTGATCGAGTAGTTTCCTTTTTTTTAGGTAACATATTTTGTTCTAAAAAAAACATATGAATATGATTGAGTAATTTCCTTTTTCTTGTAACGTATATAAACATTTTTTTTTTTTTTGTCATCAACGAACTAAAGAGAAAACCTGGTATTTAGAAGAAAAAAAAAAGAATTTTCCTTTTTCCTTTTTTAAAAAATGAGTCAGCAATTTCATTTTTCTTATAACGCATACATATGAATATGATTGAGTAATTTCTTTTTCTTTTAACGTATATAAAAGTGGTTTCCTTTTTTCTAGTACAACATAAATTTCCTTTTTCCTTTTTAAAAAATGAGTCAGCAATTTCCTTTTTCTTTGTTTTTATTTTGTTGTCACCAATTTCCTTTTTCTTGTAACGCACAAAAAAGTAAAATTTCCATATTTGTTTTGGGATCAACATAAACACAGATATTCTCTTATAAATACCCTCAACATCTCTTTGAGAAATCAAATCACAGAGACTCTTCAGTCTTCTTCACAAAATAGAAAAAAAAAAAGACAATGAGAAAAGAGAGAGAGCGTACGTTCTCTATTGGCGTAAGATCTATCGAGTTGATGAATTCTGAATAATGACGAAGATTGAGAACTGAATTAGGGTTGATGATGACCCAAACATGCAACAACGACATCAATGGTATAATCCTCCGATCCATCTTCTTCACCATCATCTCTTCTCTTCTAACTCTCAGAATCGGTTGATGAAATTTTGCAGGTTATGGTGCGAGCGAGGCTCATCGGAGGAGGACGCTGTTTGTTTCTTCTTCAAGTCTCATCTGTTTTAACGACCAAGTTGAGGTATAAATATTTCTAGGGTTTTCACTTTGGCTCTTTTCTACAGATTTACTGATGGTTCTTCTAATTCTCTTTGTGCAGATCGGAGAGATGTTTGGAAGAATGAATGAAGTTTCATAGCGTAAACTTGGCCGACAGTGTAACAACATCGAACTGATTCTATAGTGATTGATGGTCCTTTAAAGTTTTATTCTTCCTAACACAAATTGGATCTGGACAGGGACCAGTGGCGGAGGTAGAGTAATATTAGGGGTGTCATATGACACCCATGAAACAAAAAAAATACAGGTTAACTTTTACTATAATAATTAAGTTATACATGGATAAGCAGCTTATTGACACCCCTTTTATAATTTTATTGACACTTCTCAAGTCAAAATATAACTCTCAACACCTATATTCTATATCCATTTAAAAACACAAAGATGCTACTAATATATATATATATATATATAATTTTAAGATTTTAACATATGATTATTGTGCCTTTTTGACAAATTGTTGGGTTTTAACTTTAAGCTTTTAATAAAATTTTAATCGATTAGATGCTTAAACATAATTATAAGTTTATTAAGAAAACATAATTATAAGTTTATTAAAAAACACAATCCTAAAGCACTAAACACAAAAACATAATTAATCAAAAACTTGGACTCTTCATCTTCTTTCGTCATTTTTGCGTAGGCGGATTGAAAGCTAACAAACCGTAAGCCAAATCTTTTGTAATTTATGAAACTTTTGTTTGATACTTCAGTTAATTAAAATACAAAATAGATTTTTGGATATGTCTTTTGGTTTATATATTTTGCATCATTTGGTTTATCGACTTTTGAAACTAGCCTTAATTCTACCAGTTACTATTTTGAAAAATGTATTTTTACGATGAATATTGTAAAGATAGAATCGCGTAATCGTATTTGTAATACCTTATTAAGTGATTGTTTAGTTTTGATTTATTGAAAAGCAGTTACTTGACACTGTGACAAACAAAACAGCGATGAGTAAGTGTAGAATTCATTTTTAGAATGACTATTTGTAATAACATTTTTATTTTAATATAAATTATTTTCGAGAAAAAAATTATGACCCCCATGATTAGTTTTTCTGGCTCCGCCACTGACAGGGACTGAGTCCTGTTGCTGCTTGCTTCTCTAGATGGGGAGATACATGTGTTCCCCTTCATCTGCGTTTATACTACCATGTACGCAAAACATACTCTTCTTGTTTTGTAAGTAATCCCTCTTCTCTGCTTTTCTTTCTTTCGCTCTGTTTTTAAGTTTGCTCAACCAATTATATAATCCCTATTTTTATTTTTGTTTTTGTTTTATTCAACGCAGCCAGGATTGTGGACACCACTCTATCATCATTCATCAACACACTTAAGGGATTTAGGGTTTGTTTATGGTCTCCTCATTTAGGCTTGTTGTTTATATCCATGCTTGAAAATTAACAATGGTTTCTTCTAATTCTATATATGTGCATATCAGATATGGTTTGAAGAATGAAGATGATTCAGACTGGCAGACTGCTCAAGGTATTGTTTCAATCACTCAGTAAGTCCGCTTCAGTTTCCCATCCTCGTAAGTGGAGACTGATAGTTTTTATGGTTTTCTTGTTGCTGCTTCTCTAGTTGGAGATTTTATGGTTCTTATTATTACGATGAATGATGCCTTTTGACCCAACAATGGTCAAAATCCTATTCTTGATCTGTAAGTTATCTTAAAAACCCTTCTCTGCTTTATTTTGTTCTGTTTCAAGTTTATTTATCCCTCAACCACTAATCCTTTTCGTTTTTTGGTCAAACACAAAATATACTAGTGAAGGCACCAAAAGATTCAAAGCAAAACCTTTGGAACAAACAGGTATTTGTCATTGCCTCGTGGCTCGTGCTAACAATTGAAACTCTCTGATTCCTTTCAAGAGTTAAAAGGTAGTTGAGGAAGGATGTTAATACCATCGAAACCAATGTGTTGTGTTCTTTTTGATGCAGATTTTGGCAGCTCAAGCTTGCCTGCATCAGAAACAAGTAGACCACATTTGCTAGAATTTCAGGTAAATACCATCCATCTATTTATCATCACTTTAGAACAGACTCATAGCTTAACGAATCCATTTTATCAATTTACAAGGAACTCATTTCTTATTTCCTTACAGTTGCAGGAGGAACTTCATCTTCATCTGCACTTGGGCCAAAAAAAACAGTTACAGTCGTCTCACGCCAAAGGCAGTCATCAAAAAAGTGTGGAAAGGTAGCTGAGATTCTTAATTTTAGTACTTTCCTTTTTTTGGGGAAATTTCCTTTTTCCTTATAACGTATAGAAGAGTAAATTTCCATTTTTTTTTTTTTTGCAGGGAACAACATCAACAATTCAACACATATGATTCCTTATAAATACGCTCAACATCTATCTATTTGGGAAATCAACACAGACTCTTCTTCAGTCTTCACCAGTTCACCCCAAATAGAAAAAACGATGATATACAAGTTTATAGAGGCCGGAGTTTTTCAATGGCGTCGATGTTTGAAGAGTGAAGAAGATGCAGAACAGAATTAGGGTTTGGAGAATAAACAACAACAACGACATCTATGGTCTAATCCTCTTCTTCAGTCTTCACCATCACGTTTCTCAAATTCTTTCATCGATAAAACGTACGGACCATCACCGTCTCTTCTTCTTTTCTTCTAAATTCTAAATCTCGCAATGGTTGATGACTTTTACAGGATACGGTGCAAGTGAGGATTGGAGGAGGGCGTTGCTTGTTTCCATGGCGTATCTCCTTCAACTCTCATCTGATTTGAGGACCAAGTTATAAGGTATAAATATTTCTAGGGTTTTCACTTTGGCTCTTTCTGTAGATTTACAAATTAACCTACGATGGTTCTTCTTCTAATTTTCTCTATGTACAGATCCGGGAGATGGTTCGAAGAATGAATGAAGTTTCATAACAAAAAAACTTGGTCGGCATGGCGTACTCACAGTAACAACATCAAACTGATTCTAGTCATTGTTGGTTCTGATAAAGTCTTATTCTTTGTTACACAATGTTAGATCGGATAGAGACTGAGATTTCTTTATGTTTTTACTTGTTGCTTGCTTCTCTAGATGGAGGAGATACATGGTTCCCTTTTCATTCGATGGAAAAGTCCTCTTCTTGCTATGTAAGTAATCACAAAATCCTCTCTGCATGCCTTTCTTTATTTTTCTTCTGGTTCAAGTTTTCTCAACCAATTTTAATCCTTTTTTTCTTTTTTGTTATGTTCAATGCAGCCAGCCTATCATCAACACTTCTACAGATCATATATGGTTTGAATAATGGAGAAGATTCACACTGCTCAAGGTTTGTTTCAATCACTCAGTAAGTCCGACCTTACGATGGTTAAATCCTATTCTTGATCTGTAAGTTATCTTAAAATCCTCTCTGCTTTAATTTCCTTTACTTTGTTCTGTTTCAAGTTTATTACAACTGGAACTCGAGAAGACACCAAAAGATTCAAAGCAAAACCTTTGGAACCAAAGAGGTTCTTGTCACTGCCTCATGAGTCATGCCAACGTTTCCCTTCCGTAGGTAATATATAACATCGAAACTCTCTGATTCCTTTTAAGAGTTATAAGAAGTAAAGAACTTGTTCTGTTAATACCATCGAAACCAATGTGTTCTGTTATTTAATGCAGATTTTGGCAGCAGTTTCAGCTTTGCCTGCATCAAAAACAACCACATCTGCTACAATATCAGGTAAGTACCATCCATCAGAGATTATATATTATCACTTAATGAATCCGATTTATCAATCTTCGAGGTACCCATGTTTTTTTTACTGTTGCAGGAATCTCATCTTCAAACAATGGCAAGGGCTAACCAGCATACAGAGACATATTCAGTGTTGAAGCAGGTATGAAGCTTCTTTTCACTTGCATTTTGAGAATTATACTCGTTTGATTTATGGTTCTCATTTATAGGCTGTTGTTTCTGCAGATTTAAAGCTTAACGATATGATTCCTGGTTCTATGTGCAGATCAGAGATGGTCTAAAGAATGAAGTTTCATTACTAAAAAACTTGAACATGAAACTGGTGCTAGTGATGGATTCAATTCGTCTGATTTGTCCACTTCAAGTTTCCCATCCATAGGTGAGAGTCTAAGTTACCACTTGATGAGTTAGATATGGTGGTACTTGGTAGTATTGATCTGTAAGTTATCTCTAAATCATTGCCATATATTTTTTTTTGTTATATTCAATCACAGTCTCTTCTCTTTTACTCTCAGCATCGTTGATGAGTTATATATGGTGGTAGTATCGTTTTGGTGTCTTTGCAAGTGAGGACTATGTTTTTTTCATGGCTTTTCTTCAACTCTCACCTGATTTGACGAGAGCTCGACTAAGAAAGGTAAAAATCCAACCTGCTCAAGGTTTTGTTTCAGTCATCAAAACTGGTTTGTTTCAGGTCAACTTCAGTTTATTCTGATTTTTGCACGAACGCCATTAATTAGAACCCGTTAGCTACAACTCTTTCATTACGACGCAAGCCTCAGGAAAAAAACAAGTTATTCTCCTACTGAATCAATCACAGTTAAGCTAGCCATCTTGATACAGAGATCAACAACAAGACTGCATATGCCAGGTTCTATATCATTTCTTTTGAGATAGTATGTATTGTAGTTAAGTTAGATGAGAGGCCATCCTAATGCTCTGTCTTGTTCATTCAACAGTAATCTAAGGGATGCGAGGTTTGAGCAGATGGAAAACAAAGAGAATAGACCTTGCTCAACAGAAATTTCAGGTAAGTAGGTACCCTCCATGACAGATTATACTGATTCTGTAGTGATTGACGGTCTTTTACTAATTGACTCAATAACTCTTCTTTGTCCACTTCAAATTTCTGATCCACATCTGGTAGAATTTCAGGTAAATACCGTACCCTCCATGACAAGATTATATAATAATCACTTTAGAACAGAGTCATAAGCTTAATGAATCTGTTTTATTAATTTACAAGTATCACCCCCCAGATATTTGAGAGTAACGGAGAGATGGGCACCTTTTGGCATCACCAAAACATTTAGGGTTCACTGAATTGGTAATATCTACTGTAACCTTTAGTTCGACTGATATTTTCTTGATACCGTTGATGGTTTTGATTACAGGTGGGATGAACAGCAAAAGCTGAGGAGCATGTTTCTTTTGCCTTAAAATCCGCTGGCGTGCTTAACAACAACATTAAAGCTGATGCTAGTGATGATGATGGTCTTTGACTCAACGTACATCTTTCTTTACCGCTTTCAAAATTTCTATCCATAAAAGTAAGACTGAGAATTTGGTTTCCTTGTTGCTTCTGTAGGGATGACCCAACAACGACAATGGAGCCATCCTCTTTTTCTTGATGTGTAAGTTATCTCAAGATCCTCTCTGCTTTTCTTTATTTGCAAGGACCAAATTACAACTGTACTTCTCCCACCCAATCGAAAAAATGAAAGAAACATCATCCAAATCCGATCCTACTTTGTCAAGCTGGCAAATTCAGATCGTCGCTTTCGTATCTTATGACATCCCAATCTAACTGATACGACAAATAGTACATTCTCGGAAACACTTAAACATACAAGTACGGTACGTATATACAACTCATTTCTAATCCACAAAATGTCATAATCATCTCAAACGCTCCATAAGTTTGTCTTATAGGTATCAACTCTCTCTCTCTCGAGATTCTTCTAATCTTAAATTTGACATTGACTTTATGTATATATCTTTTTCATTATTAGTATTTTTCTGTTTCAGCTTCTCAACCTTAATTTTATAAGCTATAATAACCATGTAACAGAATATCATATAACCGATGAAAACAATTGTCAAAGTCACGGTATTGTGTATACACACATTACTAAATCATTCTGTATAATTCATGCAATATAACAATAAACAAACAGGTTTGATTATCTCCAACTAAATGACTTCAAGACTTCCACATGTTTAACACTACGAAGCCAATAGATCAATCGTTTTTTTTGGCATTGTGGAAGATTAGGTGAGGACATTTTTAGCGATATTTTTGTTATTAAATCTTTTTTGTGAAAACTCCCTTTCATTTCTAGAACTGGACACTTGACGACTTGCCCCTAAATTGGTCCAATAATACATTTATGGGCACAAAAACAAAACTGGATATCGTTTTAATGTCATTTACTCATAAATGGGCCTAAAGATTGACCTGTTTATTTGTGGCCTATATCATTCGACCCATTCTGACTTTTGTTATTTCTAATGTACCACTATGAAGGTAACTATTGATTATTAAAATTTTAATATTACTAATGTCAGTTGTGTGTGATCATTTGGTGAATATCTTATTAATACCCAGAAACTTATGTATATAACTAAGTATACATGTGAAAAAAAAATAAAAAAATTTAGTCAAAGAACAATGTGCAATATATATATTGCATGTTAGAGAAGTTAATGAACTCTATCTACTTTGAGGAGTATTTCCTTAATGTTGACCGGACGGTTACAACACTAATCATACTTAACGGCTCATCATTCGAAATTATTATTATATATTATATACGTGTATGGCTATAGTAGTTGGTTCTTGTACAGTATTTTATTTATTTTCAAAAAAATCGGAATTTCATGTGGCCTCATGTGTTTTCTGCTTCTCTTAAAATCGACTCTTGTAGTAGTATTAAATTTAATTATGTGACTGATTTTCTTGGTGTAGTGCTTAATTAACTAACAGTTGACAAACAAATTCATTATAAGTAATGCTTAAGACAATCTTAAAACAATGAATCAGTAGTCAATTAGCTAGATCAATTAATTCAAACAAAAAAAAAGTCAAACTTAGCACCTTTAATCAAATATTTTGCCACGTTCCCAAAAATTATCATTCACTCGCCAATTTAGTTATTTATGCTATAATTATTGATATATTTTATACATATTCTTAGTCCATATATGAACCAAAACATAATTTTGAATTATTCGGTATATCACATTAGATATATTAAAACCATTTAGTTATTATTATTATTAATTGAAAATTAGTTAAATGTCAAAAAGAAAATTAAAAAAATGCAATTATTTGCTAAAATACTGTTGGATCATTATTCATAATCTCTGACACATACATGTATATACGTGTAGGTACATGTATATTACGCATGCATTATTAAATACTAATTTTTCATTACATGTAAGAAACAAGTTTGACTTTTATAGTTGAGTAATCTCCGACTCCGAGCGAGGAGCAGTGGTTAAGGCAAAATTTATGATAGATCATCGCGTCACATGCAATCATGCATTACCCACCCTAAACTTCCTATACTTCATTATATCGATCATTAATTAAACTCCCACTAATTAATAAAAACTCTATTTTACTAACTTTTAATTTTTCTTAAGTCTCATTTCTTTTAGAATGATGAGATTCCTATTTCGGTAAGACGATTATATTTATAACTCGGAGCAACTTTTGGGTAGGATCCATATGTATAATATGTACTTGTTGCAAATTTTATAAAAATCCACCATGATTATACTATTATACGATTATGTAGTTTTAATTAATATATATATATATATATAGAAATAAAAATAAAAATGTTTTTAACAAAAAATATCAATACGAAACCTTTTGGACTTTGGAGTATCTACGAGGGGTCCCGATTTAAAGAGTCGATCACTGAACCTAACCGAAAACTTTAAGAATAATTAATCAAATATACAAAGACACTATCAATTATAGTACTCTTCTCTTCTTTTTTTAATTAACTTATGCAAATATTATATATGCAGGCTCATATAAAATTATTACTGACGTGCCACCAACCTCAAATCTTGATGTATAAATCACACTCATAATTATGAGCAACATTATGATACATATTAATTAGTATGCATTCTCGATAATGACCTTTGAAATCATTATAACTTCTTACAACGGGTTCATTACCGCTGTTTCACTGGCTTTTCTCTGAACCCATTACATGTTCAATTATATAGCAACATACAATACTAATAATGGCTACTGATATACTAATAAAACAAGCACAATTATTTCAATTTCTTTTCCTTAAAAAAGTTTTAATAGAAAAAGAAAAAAGTACAAACATAGTTATACATATAAAGCTGTGGGAAACAATGTCGGCGTATATTAATTTACTTGAGTTCCCCACTATTTCGATTTTACAATTTACGTATGCTTGTGATTCCATATTCTCGAACCTCGCTAGCTTCCAAACAAGTAGTTATGCTAAACAATCAAACAATTTTTTTTTAATAATAAATGACAATAATACATGAACTTCCTTTTCATACAAATTGATAATTCGAAGATTATTGTATTCAAAGGAGAAACGGGGAAATAGCAATTGTAAATGATTATCACATGATTATAGAGCAATACTACATATATTTAGCTCAAATAATACAGTCAAATCGTGAAACATAGATATTATACTTCATGATCTAAATCTTTTATTATTTGGATCGGCGATGCTTGTAATTATGAATGTTATAAAGATATTTGAGTGTTTTGGGTATTGAATTCAGTAACATTTCACCTAATGGGAATAACGATTCGTGCACATGTCTATGTCATTTTCCCGATGAATATTTATTTAGCTTTTTTAATGCTAATTTTAAAGTTAGTGGAATACATCCATGCATGCATATATACTTGTACTTCCCGAAAAATATTTATACTAGTATATATCACGATTTTTCAGGAATTTCTACGAGTTTCTAGAACATAGGTACGTTTATGAATACACTTAATAATAATATAATGGCAATTTTATTCTACATAATATCAAAAGAGCTGTTATGATTAACATTGCGATTAGTGAAATGAGTGCCAACTTTTGCTTCATTTTCTCCAATGAAAGTCTTCAACTAATTTTGAGTGTATTACTCCTAAATGAAAGTGGTATTAAATATATTTCATTAATAACATCCACCAAAGCTTTTATTTACTAAAAAACATCCACTAAAGTATATACTACTAATTAATTGGAAAAAGGGATTTAACAAACTAGCTTCCAACTATTCCCTTTGGAGAAATTAAAAAAATAAGGAAATCAATATACAACTTGAATTACCTAAAAGGACAAAGAAACAAATGAGAATAATTTTTTTTTATTCGTAATAATATATATTTTTAGAAAAGATTGAGAAAGATTAGTCGTAATAATAAAATTAAGAAAGTTGCAAATTGATTTGATGTGGTTAGGTAATCGGCGTTATGGACCCGCTCCCTGAACTCGTCATCATCATCATCTTCTCCACGTGGTCTGTATTTGTCAGCGTGACGTGCCACGTGGATTTATATGACCAATGATTGTATTAACTTGTTCATATTTTAATCATACAGTATTATTGTTTTCGTTTAATAATCGTAGTAATTTAACCAGTGGGCTTAATTAATCATTAATTTATTTTTCTGCTTAATTTTATTTTTGTCTTTTTGCCAACTATAAACAGCAAAATATAAACTCTTTCAATAATCAAAAACACAATATACGAATACCTTATGTTTAGTGAGTGATGCATATGTATAAGAAGTTAAAAAGCTATCGGTATCATACGTACGTACTGATATACAAGAGTATCTCTTTCATTTGCGTTAAGTATGGTTCATACTAAAACCTCATGGTCTGGACCATACGATCAAGTTTTGGATGATGTTTCTAGTCATTCATTATCTTTTTTGGTCCACTCTTCAATTTATTATTACCCTTTCACATCATCACTAAATTTTAAGTAATGTTTGTTACAAAAACCGACGGAATAATCAAAATTTTAAATCATTAATCATATTACCAAGTATTTTAATTCTATCCTCACCAACGTATATACATATTAATAAAAATGCAGCATATGGTTATGGGTTATTGTGAGATATACTCTAATCAAAGTCGCACCACAAACTTTGCAATAAAAAGAATCGAATATTAATATTTCTATAGTTTCTATATATAAAAAAGGGAACGTTAAGTAATGTTAAATTAATTATTTCGCATTTTAAGCAAGAGCATATGGCTAAAGTTAGGTCCTAACTAAAATATTGCATACAAATTATTCACACTAATAGAAAAATGAAAAATAATCAAATCCAGAGAAGGCGCAATTCACATGCAGTCTCGTCACAACTCTTAACTAGTAGTGTATATATACATACATCTCTCCTCACTCCAAATCCAAACCAATACATCTCATTCATTCTTCATACATCCAAAACAACGTTCAACGTTCACTACCTATACTCTCAAATCGATCTAAAGTTCAAAACCCACTCTAAAAAACAAAAAATGGAGAATATGTTTAGACTAACGGCAAGTGAAGAATATTTCTCAGACCGGCGGTGTGTTTGGGTCAACGGTCCGGTTATTGTCGGAGCCGGTCCTTCCGGTTTAGCTACAGCAGCTTGTCTTCATGATCAAGGAGTCCCATTCGTCGTGGTCGAGAGATCAGATTGCATAGCTTCACTGTGGCAAAAACGTACCTACGATAGGCTCAAGCTTCACCTGCCCAAGAAATTCTGTCAATTACCGAAAATGCCCTTCCCGGATCACTACCCTGAATACCCAACGAAACGACAGTTCATCGACTACCTTGAGTCTTACGCAAACCGTTTCGAGATTAAACCGGAGTTCAATAAAAGCGTCGACTCTGCTCGGTTTGATGAAACCAGCGGTCTATGGCGTGTTAGGACGACCTCGGCGGGAGACGAAATGGAATATATTTGCCGGTGGTTGGTGGTGGCGA